GTATAAACTCAGTGTATTATCATCCGGCAGCGTCACTTCCGGTATTTTCTGTAGTTCCCCTCCAGCCCGGCAGGGGGCGCACCGAACCGAGGCGCTGTTTCAACCAGAGGAAGCAGAAAGTTTAAAGTCCAGAGCTGCAGATAGACTTCAGGTTCGGCTGTGAGTGTGGTTCTGACAGGTTCGGCTGTGTCTCCTCCAACATGAACAGGCTGAAGGTTATTTCTGGACACCTGTCTCCCGGAGGCTCATCCTCGGAGCTCCGGCCGGCGCTGCGGAGCTCAGAGACCGGCTCCGGGGATGAGGTGGTGGTGGTCCACGGGCGGAGGACGGCCATCGGGAAAGCCAAGAGAGGCGGTTTTAAGGTAAGAAAACAGACTCCCCACGAACTGAACCGAAACAAACCGAAGCTGTGGTTAACCTAACTGCAGGAGCACCCAGCCACATGAAAACATTTGAAATGATAAAAACATACGGAAAGCAGGAAGGGTCAAACTTCTTTACTGCGGACATTTTAGTCTGTAAAAAATAAATAATATCTTACCTGTAGCAGATAACTGTGTGAACAACCTCAGTTTGTAAAAACAGTTTATTTCTGAGACAAACAGTCCAGTTCTCTTCCTGACCTGATCTTACATTTAATTTATTGTTTSACATGTTGTTCCTTCAGCTGTTTACAGTTATCTTTCATCTCTTTAGCTGATGTTCTAAAGATGATTAAAGCCTACAGTTGTGGACCCACAGGGACTGTGAGGTTCTGTTTCTCTGTAAAGTGTGTTGTGATTGGCTGAAGGCTCTGTACCTGCAGGACACCACACCTGACGAGCTGCTGAGCGCCGTGATGACAGCTGTCCTCACAGACGTGGGACTGAAGCCRGACCAGCTGGGGGACATCTGTGTGGGTGAGACGAGACCTTTGTCCTCAGTAAGACCTCTGGAGTCCTGCAGGGTCTGACCTGAGGGGGGCGCTGTGAAACACTCACTGTTCAGGATGATGTAATGTCTGAATCTAAACAAACAAACAGACTCTGGTCTTTTTATCTGTTGTTGACAGGAAACGTCCTGCAGCCTGGAGCGGGGGCTCTGATGGCTCGAGTGGCTCACTTCCTCAGGTCAGAACAAGTCTTATCAGCTGAAGAGGTTTAGGACCTGGTCTCTGTGGACAGGAAGTCCTCATCAGTGTCTCTCTGTCCTCTCCTGGTCTCAGTGGGTTCCCGGAGACGGTTCCGGTGTACACGGTGAACCGACAGTGTTCCTCTGGACTGCAGGCGCTTCTCAACATCGCAGGTGAGTCCTGACCCGGTCCTGGTCCTGGTCCTGTGGTTGGTCCTCAGAGACCTCAGACTAAAGTGATTTGGTTCTACCTGCATACAGGAAGCATCCGGAGCGGGACCATGGACCTGGGCCTGGCCTGTGGGTGAGGAAGAACGAGCTCTGGTTTTATATCAGGACCAGTTTCAGCTGATACTGGACCTCTGGATGGTGTTGGTCCATTCCGATATTACAGCTCAGGGGGACCTGTCTTTGGACCTGGACCTGGTCTCCTGGACAAAACAAAGTCCAGGGCTCAGATTTATAAAACTTGTGTACGTCACTTTTCACCCAAAGGTTGTGGTTTATAAAATCCAAACTTGAGGTGAAAATGTGCGGACCCTCACAGATCTGACCCTCACAGATCTGACCCTCAGAGATCTGACCCTCAGAGATCTGACCCTCAGAGATCTGACCCTCAGAGATCTGACCCTCAGAGATCTGACCCTCAG